ATCGTTGGGCCTCTGTTGGATTTAAGTATAAAACATTCTAAAACACATTTTAACAGATTAATTTATTTAATAAAGAAAATAAATGCTATGACAGTATCAGAGTATAAGACAATTTTGGAGAATATTGGATCTATAGTAGGCCTAAATGTAGTCAGATGATGTTGTGATACTATACACAACTAGGTGTTCTGGAACACCTGCTAGAGGACTATAAACACATACCGTAATGATAATAATGCAAATTAATTTTTTAATTTATATTCTTTAACTTATTTGAGAAAATGTTTAGTAGTTGAACAATTTAGGGGGAAAAACTAATTAATCTATATATTCAAATACCAGTATACCCTCCAACTCCCAGAAAAACAATCCAACTACTTGATGCATAAACAGAATCATAGTGTCAAAACTATTTTAAATACCTATTGCAGCCATTGCAACTATCGGCTCCTCTTTGATGCTTGAAAAACAATTTATCAACAATCAGAGATAGCTAAGAAGGTAAGAGGCTCACATATCAAAAGGTTCAAAACCCATCTGGGCAAGATATTTTTCTCTAGTTTTTTCAAAATTTGTTTTTATGAACTACTAGCTGGCCTGACAGACGTCGTCCTGTCCTAATGTGGTATAATGTCAAAAGCTCGTTCATTTTCAAGATGAGCTCATTCGCATGGCTCAATCACTACCTGGTTGAAGTTCGTTCGCTACGATATCACTCACCTTTAGGAGGGAGCTCGTTCGCTGCGCTCACTTGCCTTCAGCTTAGCTCGTACGCTACGCTAACTCGCCTCCAGGTTGAAGTTCGTTCGCTACGCTCACTCACCTTTTGGTTGGAAATTAGCTGTTGTCATAAATTAAAAAAAAAAAATTATAGTGCTGCACCCTGTTGGTAAACCTATTAACTTTTTAATGTATTGAGCATCACAGAATCAAATTGATTAGTTGAACCAGCTGTTAATAGTCCTCGCCACCCTAAGTTGAGGCAGCCAATGGCCGCACTAGATATACGCCGTGCGGCCTTGGGCTGCCTCAACTTAAGGTGGCGAGGACTATCAGATTCTTTAATTTCATTTAAATATGAGTACTCATAAGGTTAACATGGGAAACTCCAGAGCCACTGGGGCGGAGCCCTTTAGACGGATCTGCACCAAACTTCACACAAACCATCCTTGAATAATGCTTAATAAAGCCTGAAAGTTTCATTACAATCTATCGAGCGGTTTCGGAGTCCATAAAGGACAAACAAACAAACATACATGCATGAGTGAAAATTTAAAAACGTACGTTTTCATATCCCTGACCTTTTACTTCGTAGATACTGGATTTGTAGTTTATTATTATGTGTTTTAATATTTTTTTGGGACAGGGGCAACATGTTACACACATTTATTTGGTTTTAAATAGGTTCTAGGTATTTTTTTCGTATTTTTAATGTCTCGAAATTCACGACCATGACGTGTCCCTAGGGTACATTTTCCAACTTTCACGCTGTTTTTAGACTAATTATTCATGCCGAAATATATAAAGCCATATTTTTATGTCCTCAATGGCTATTAAACTTACAAAAAAGGAGCATATTATAATTTTATTGTCATTGCAAACTGACTACCATGACGAAATAAGTCTGTCCCTCAATTTGGCGTCACGACCATTTGGGAAAATTTTTCAACTTTGGAGCACGACAGTGGCAAGCCTGGCGTCGAGGGAGTCAGTTGGTTTTAGAGACTAGTTCGGGGTGTACGTCAGGATTGTAATGCCGGTCGTTTCGAGTTGAAAGGAGGAATTACAAGATTAATAAAGGAAAGATTGTGATTTTTGTAATTTTGGTGTGTCCATGACCGTACGTAGTCATTCGATGAAGTAGACATGGTGTTAATTTTTGTTTATAAGATATTTCAATTGCTAGATTAACCTAGAAGTCCACTTTGTATCCTCGAACATGAGGTGCAGGGCTACCCCCAGAACAGAGCCAAATAACACGTAATGTCACGACCAAAGTTTCACGACCATCGCGGGTTTTTTCACGACCAATCCAGCCTATGGATTATACTGTGGTTGGTCGTGACAATAACTTAAATATCATTGTACTCCTCTGTATATGGTGTAATTTGTGACAATTTACATGAATAAATGAATAAATGAATTGTAAATTGAACAGTTTTGTTCAATTGAAACACATCTATATATATAATACGCTAAGCCGATTTTTGTAAACAGAACTCCTCCCACATTTTTGGACCAATTTTGATGATTAAAATGTCAAAACAATGGCCCTGATCTGTAGTTTTGCAAAGTGTTTTTAGTTTTTTGACATCTTTATTAGTTTGGGCAGGATCTTCCATCAAAGTTGGGTTTTCTCCCACAAGATTAACATGGGGGAATCTAAATATTTAATTGGACATATTGTCTCCACTAATTTGAGAGAACGGCTGGGCGTAGAAACTTGATAGAGGTGTCCAAAGAAATATCTTGGTCTGTAGATGAGTTATCAAAAGTTAAACGAAGTAAATTCGCTTAGGGCTCTGCCCCAGACTTTTAAAGATCCCTAGACAGCTTTGTTTACATTTTGGCCATATAATACTTTTTAATGAAACAGCTGTTAATTTTTAAATTGTATTTAAAACAACACACATTTATAGGGAGTTACTGAGTTGTCCAGAAGAAGTATTTGCAATTTTATTTTCTGATTTTAAAATTGATTTTCTTCTGTATCATGTCATATTTTGCAATATAACGTTTCTTTACGAAATCAGTGGAAATTCCTTTTATCACAGAACTCTTACAATAATTTCTTATTGAACTATCTAATATCTGTTGTACGGGTTGTTGTCTGCCTTTTTTTACCACTTTTGCATATATTTTGTTATATTATTCTACAGATCATAATAGGTTCATGAGATTATTGTCATACATGTTTTTAATCATTGGAAAAATAGTCGAATGTGTAATACAATACAAAATAATACAAGTGCAGAAGGGCACGTTGTCCATTTGAGCCGTGTCCATATTTTGTTAAATTAATAGTAGTTTACAGCAACTCGATAAAACATTTTACAATATTTATGTAGAAATATGTGCACGATTTAGAAATTCAATAAGCTGTAAATCTTCAATTTACTACAGACTTTTCAGAGAGGTTGCTATAAAGTATTCATTCATCATAGTGAACACATAATATAGATATGAATACAAATAAGAATTTGAACTCTTGGAGAGCCTTTTAATGTTATTAGAACGAAATGGGTTGTACATGTTTACTAGCGCTACTCAGCAACAAAAACCATTTAATTTATCTCTAAAATATATATTCTTAAAGTGCACTGAGCAGCAGCCTAAAAAATACTATGTAACTTAGGGCCTACCCATATAGTTACAAAAGGCTTGAACTCGCATTGTAACATTTATAATTCGGCTTATATTTCTCCAGCAGATTATTTATCTAAGAAGAAGTTTATTGTGCTCTTATCATGTCTAATAACATCCAAAGACAGAAACCTTGCCTAAAATGGTACCTATCTTGATAAATTATTTGCAGTACGGTATCCTATATTACGGACCGCGGCCCACTGGGTTGTTAAACATGATTGAAAATAGCACGACATTTCGTCTATAAAAAAGGCATAAAGAGTAAATACTATTTAAGCAGCTACTTAAAGTATATTCCACTAAACCTAACTTTCCGTAGATGAATTAGCTTAAGCCTTGAGAGTAACCGTCGATTTCGACGGGTTTCACCTAGTATTTTTATTATATCTAGTAGTATAATTGAAGGATTGTATAGAAAGATTTAGATTGTTCAAAACAATTCACGACCGTACTGCTTGTCCCTGACCATCACGTTGATGATTTCTATCATAAAAATTTAAAAAAATTAAAATATCATCATATATCAATGTTTTATACACAAAAGAAGCACACCTCTATAAAAACATAACGATTTTTCGGGTCTCAGGTAAGTTTTTTTTCGGAGTTATACAAACTTAAATTTTTTTCATTATTTTTTTTCTAGAAAGACCAAATATACCAAAAGCTTAGTGAGATGTTTATTGTATAATGGCCATAAAAGTAAATTAATTTATAGCAAAACATAGTTATAAAAATAATATTAACTATTTTTAATATTCAGTTTTATGTCCGTGATGGTCGTGACAAAATTTTGTGTTTTTCCATCAAAGATGCTCTATTTATATAAAATCACCAAAGATATTGCGTTACCATGGACATTTTTTGAAACTTCAAATGTCAATGAAATAAAAAATATAAAAAAGTTTCAAAAAACGGAATAACAAATTTTAAAAGTGCTTTTCCTGAAAACGTACGTTTTTAAATTTTCACTCATATGTATAACTGATATTTCCCCTTAAATTTTCAACCAATAAATTTTCTCAAATAAGTTAGAATTTAAATTAAAAAGAAAATATTTGCATTATTATTATTATTGTAAGCAGGTGTATTATTATTATTATTATTATAAAATGGTAAAAAAATAGAGTTTGATAGTTATTATGCCCCACGGGGATATCCTATGGATATCCAAAGGACGTCCTATAGATATGATCGGATAACATGATTAATTTTTATCAATCATTAGTAACGTTATTAGTTATTTTAATTTTAAATAGTATTGAAATCCTTTTTATAACGTTTCTAAAGCACTTGTCACTTGAAAAAATACATCCAATACTATAAAATATGTTTTAATATAGGTAGCCTACCGAGAATATCCATAGGAAGTCCCCAGGATATCCTCATTAGTGGATTTTACAAATAAATTATGAAAAAAGGATATCGTGGATGTTCTAGAGATATGCCAAAGATATTCCTGTCCCTCGATCAAAAACCCTAAAAAAATAAATTAATTGTTGTAACGGGAATATGCCAGGAAAGTCCCAGGGATATTCCTATATCCCATGAGATATTGGCATGTCCCAGGGATATTCCTATATCTCTTGGGATATTGGGACATTTTGGGAACTCTGTGGGATATCCTGAGGATATTCTGTGCTATGTGGGAGATAGCGTTGTATTTGGTGGGCAATGTAGTTAACAGGTAAGATAACATCAGTTCCAAACTACACAAGGATAAGGATAAACCTAATTTATTAATCTTGATTTCCAGGCACGACATGGTACTTGTTTCTTATCAGTTCTTCTTTATCAGCATCAACACCAGAAATTTCAAAGTCATAGTCATTGACAACTTTAACAACAGCATTTTTATAATCTTTGGGACAAATTTTACTCAAGGCTATCAGAGCATAAAATAAGTTGTAGTATATTGGCGAGAGAGGTTTGAGCCCAGCCATTTTCTCCAACTGGCCCATATAATCCTTCAGCTCATCATACAAATCATGATATGTTGTCATGGGTAAATTTTGATCTTGCTTTTCTTTAATAAAACTGTTTAGGTCAGCCAGCATTTCTTCTCTGGATGGAAGTTGAAACTCTTTGAGGGACTTGACAAAAAACAAAGCCTGAAATCAAAAGGGTCATTAGGTTTTGGCTACATAAATGATAATATGATATTTTGGACTCGTTTTATATTGAACAAATGCTTGTACTCTGTTCACAGAACTTAGGCGGTTTTCGGGGAAGAAATCTATTCCCTCCACGACTTAATCTACCATTAAAACATAGCTCAACAGCTGAGATTTGGCAAAACATCAATCAGCTGCAACATATACATAAGTAAAAAAATGTGGTAGGGGAAATTCCCCTCAAACCACCTAAATATTGTGAACGGAGTATAATTCAAGAGATGAACCAGTATTCTTAAAATGTGATGTGGAAAGCGAAAAGGTACCTCTTGTCGCTCAATGTTATTTTGCCATAACAACAAGAGGTCCCATTTCTAATATTCCCTTTTTAAACAGATTTTAGTCCAAAAAACGAATTGTCCTGCATTCTAGTGGAAATTTAGAGAACTACCACAAAGTTCAGTTCACGACGAACAAAATATCTCACGAATTTTGCGGTCCCGACAAGAGGTACCTTTTCTTATCTTATGGCGAAATAACATAGGGCCGACAAGAGGTCCCTTTTCTGAAAGCGATTTTTACGACATGCTTCAATAAAACAATTATTCAAATTAAAACCATCGTGAGTTAAGAAATAAATTTATATTTCTTTCAAAGAGGACATTATAAGCTTTCTTTTGATACCAAAATCGTTTCTTAAATACGAAAAACACCATTTTTATGCGTATTTGAAATTTTCAAAACAGTTTTTCTCAAAGTGACCCTTTTCCGTAACAAAATTTTAAAGTACTATAACTTTAACAAAAAAAATCATACATGTGTGGGAGTGGGACTTGCACCAATCAATTCGGAATTTAATAAGGAAGTCAAATATGTTTATAACTCAAAATCGAAAATTCCTGACAAGGGGTCCCTATTCGCTTTCCACATCACAAATATAACCAGCTGATCCAGAGGTGAGGTATATATGCACAATATCTGTGCAATCTGAAATCTGACAAATAATAATTTTCTCTGTGATCAGCTGTTTTAACGATTTGCACCAGTATACTATAAATGTCAATCTTTTGAATAACTGTAGGCCAAATATATATCTACTATATTCCATCATCCTGGGGACAGTCCTAAATTAAGTGGTCCGTCCCAACCCCAAAACTAGCTTTGAGATGTATGTTATAAGCTTGCAATAATCACAATTTGTGAGACCATTCATGTCAAGTACCTACAATTAATGTAATAAAAAAATATAAAATTCCAAGGATAAAATTTTGTACACAAGGATAGGGTACTTCAGGGTTAAAATTTTGTACACAAGGATAGGGTACTTCAGGGTTAAAACTGCTGATGAGATTGTATATTCAATATAAATATATAACTTGACCAACTAATACAATAGAATTATGATTTACATACTGAAAGTCTTAATAAAAGAATGTCCGGAAGGCAGTGAAGCTATTACCTGTTGATTAAACAGAGGAAAGGTGAATGTCCTGCGAGTAAGAGCGATGAAGCCCATGGTGGGATGGTTAATGTTGATTACATGTTTGTACAACGGCTCAACATAATTTCCATCAACAATGTTGATGCCACACTCAGGAGAGAGGAACGGAAACGAGTAAATGTAACCTGTTACACAACATATTTCACTGAACTACTAACACCATAATAAATTAAACATTGGTTAGTCTATGTTTGCACTATCTTTTACAATTACTTTTTTACTTGAGGACATCTGTACATATGGACATCTGTAGCAAATTTTAATAAAATTTGGTATATAGTATAATATTGTAATATTTGTTCAAGGAAAGCCTTTAGGTAATGATTTTGCGTTTTAGAATAAAGGAATGCAGTTAGCTTAACGGTAGCTTAACTTAGAGGAAATGCAGTTAGACCATAGAACAAACAAAAGACACATAATACTAATGTTACATAATAATACATAATAATAATGTTAATAATACATTTTGTCCTCTGGGGGACTTTTTCGAGTGTAGACAAATAATGTCCACAAAATGTTTCTGTGAATCCTTTTGTCTACTCTTGAAAAAGTCTGACAAAATATTGTGTATTTTGTGTCATATGTGTGTAGTAATAAGCTGTTTGCAGGGTGATGATTCATTTGTAAAAAATATTTTTTCTTTTAGTTTATAAATTTTTTGATAATTTTTTTTACATACAAGATGTTATAATTTACAATAATATGTCTTTTGGTACGGCTTGGTTTGAAAGATGTTGTATAAGACATAAACATATAAATGATAGCAAACTCAATTGCCCAAATATGTAAATTTTCATTCAACTTACTTACATGTACCATCATACAACGTAGGAATAACATTTGTACCCTTATCATAAGTGTTTACTTTATGCAAAAATGTTACCAAACGGTATTTAAAAAAATTGTAAATTAACCATACGTCAGTTGTTTTTACCAACCTGTGCATAAAATTATGACATCAATGTGTTCGGAAGTTGTATCATCGTCAAAGATAACATGGTCGCCGAGAACCTCTTTGACAAGTGGAACCTCCTCGACATTATCAGAGAACAAGCCTAACTTTGCTGCTCTGTGACTAAGATATACCTGGAGATAAATGTAACTTTGTTATTATCATGTAGCATCATTTAAAATCTATATCTATAAAAGAGGAAGTATGTATGTATATATATGTATGCATGTACCCTATGGACTCCAAAACCGCTCGACAGATTGTAAAGAAACTTTCAGGCATTATTAAGCATTATTCAAGGATGGTTTGTGTGAAGTTTAGATCCGTAAAAGGGCTCCGCCCCAGAGGGTTTTAAGGGGTCCAATGTCAGACTTTTGGAACTACAAGTTTACAAATAAATCTATTTTTATAAAAGAGGAAGTTTGTATGTTTGAACGTTATGATCTCAAACACCGTTGGACTGATTGCCACGAAACTTGGTACATACGTGTAGAATATCATAGAATAGGTTTATACACCATCAATTTTGTGATTCGTCCAATCGGCTCCGCCCCAGTGGTTCTGGAGTTTCCCCCTGTTAACCTAATGAGTTTCTATATTTAAATGGAATTAAAGAATATTAACAGCTGTTTCAACTGAAGAATTTGATTCTGTGATGTCCAATAGCATTAAAAAGTTAATAGGTTTATCAACAGAGTGCAGCACTTTTTTTTAATTTATGACAACAGCTAATTTGTACCAAGCAGAAACAAAAAGCTTTGATACATGGAATGGATGGATTTTTTACAGTTATGTTTATGTAGCCAGTTAATACTAATAGTAAATTAATAAAAGTCTATCTTCATACAGCAGATCTAGGGAACATCATAATTTTTCTATTCAAGCTGCTTGCCATTATTTTCAAGGAACCAATATAATTAAATAACTTCTTGATCAGTGCAAGAAATTAAACCCAAAATAATTGTCTCTTCCGCATCTTGACCCCGTTGCAAGGCACGGGTATAGCGGCTAGTATAATTTAAAAGCAGACATTTACTTTCACCAACTGTTTTGTAGGTTTGAATAATCACAACATTCTGTATTAGTCATGATTTGAAATAGTGCCACACTATTTCCACAGAATGCAGCACAGAAAATTTCTTTTGGATAAGTCCAAATTTAATAAACCCCAATCTCAGCACACCTGTGCACTCAACAACGTTTAAAATCTCCACTATTAAATACCCTATGTAACCATAAAATGTAAAAAAATACTCATATAAATTAGTAATATTCGTACAACAATAAATGACGGATAAAATTAGTCTAAAATGATTGCACATATTCCATTCCTGCCATCCTGCCCCAGTATAAAATTATGATTTCGCATATCAAAGTAACAGCAAAATAAAACAAACCAAAAATGGAGGTAAAGAGAGCCCTCCACCTCAAATTGAGGGTTAGCTTTGTAAACTAATGTTAACTGATATTAACACGTTGCCTACCGGCCGTCACACTCTGTTGTATGAGGGGCGTTGTGAGACGTGGTAGTGAAGGAGTTAATTTATTTAAAAAATACATATTATCCTTGAATAATGTTACAGTGGACTTTCTGTTTATGGATCCAAATTTGTTTTGCAATAGATTTTTAACAGTGTTTAGTGGCAGCAAACCTGAGACTCTCTTATTCTGAAATATCAATAAAAAAAATTTCTTCAAAGAGCTTATTTTCTCGTAATAACCTAGTAAAAAAATTCAAAACTTCCTTATTTAGCAGTTTTTTTTGTCTTATTTTTTTATTTTTTTTTTTTGGGTTATTTTGGATCCTTGAACAAACCTTAGATGCAAATTTGGATGTGTCGAACGTGACATCGGTGCCAGAGAAACCTGCTCCGACCACCAACAGGGTTTGATCTTTGAACACTTCCGGGACTCTATAACTGTGGCTGTGAAATACTTCACCTTGGAAACTTGATATCCCTGGTAAATCTGGGACTTTGGGTACACTGAAGTGGCTGAAAATGAAAATGACGTGGTAAAAGAATAAAGTTTTGAACTACATAATTTTATACAGTAAAAATTAACGCAACCAAAACTACACTTAATGTTCTGTCCAGCTATTTCTAAATAATATGGTAGTCAAAAACATAAAACCTTTAGCATGGATTACTGCTAACATTGTCATTGAAGAATTCTATCACAGACTGACGTTAGTTTAACGGTGTTCATTTATTTTGCTGAAACATTTTATCACAATTTGTTGCAACACTCTAAAACTGTAGAGTAAAAAGATCTGCTTACCAATGTTTAGTTACTGTACATAGGATAGTTTACCATTTTTATTTTTGTGTGAAAAATTTGTTGATACAGTTTAGTTTTGGATGTTGATGAGAATTTCGGGAAATAAAGTACAAAAGTTAGAAAAAGGAGGTGTTTGAAAGTTTTTTTTTTGTTAAGTCATATGATTGAAAGATTATCAGCTAACAAGCCTATCTTTTCAGCTATGTTTACCGTAGTTCATGTCTTGGAAATGTTTGTATTTTCAATAAATGATACCGTTACATGGATTTAATATTCTTACCCAATACAAACAGCAACGGCATCAAAATAATCAACATATTCTCTGTTCCTTAGAAGATCAACTGTAACCACATGCCACTTGTCTTTCTCAGGCTTCACACATTTCACACTGTGAAAAAACTGAAAAAAATAAAATTTTAAACCTACCAGCAAAAACCCTGTTTAATAGGTTTAACTCTACTGCAAGGGAAACGAACAGTATCAACAAATTGACAAACATTTTCTCCCATTTGCAGTGCACAATCAACAATTCTGAATCATTGCAATTCATTTAGTACTATATACATTTATCTGTTTTGACTTTGAGTCTTATTGCCATAATCATGACTATTTGTAGGAGTTATAATAAATGAAACTCGTCTAAATGTTCTCTAAGGTACCAAAAAAATCACATAAAATAGTTCAGGAACATCCTTTGACTCCACTTGATATAATTTGGAATAAAACTGACCAATCACAAATCTATATAATTAATACGCTACATGAAACTTTGTCGGTTGAACTCCTCCGCCATTTCTTAACCGATTTTATCCATTGACGTCTCATTGGAAAAAGCGTGTCACGTAGATTTGCAAACTGGCCTTACATTTTTGAAAAAGTTCTTTGGGCTCTGCCTCAGTGGCTTTGAAAGTTCCCATGTTATCCTTATTAAGAACATAATTGTTTACATTTTGATCAGCTGTATGATTTAATTGCTGTTATTTATTTTTCAATTCAGTGAAACACATTGAGTACATTTATTTACTATTTGAGTTTGTGTAAACATAACCCCCAAGACGGATCGTGTTAGTATGGTTTTATCTTAAATTTGTGTATTTATCATTGTTTTGTGTCGCTATGACGGATCGTGTTAGCATGATTGTAACTTAAATTTGTGCATTTATCGTTGTTTTGAGTAGTTATAATTTGTTTATTTGTTGTTTTTTTTCTTTTAAATGCCTCCAACGTGACTACAACGAAACATAGACAGGAGGTGTAATCATGATAATGACCGCAGCTACAGAACAGTGGCGCGTTAAGGCTTAACTCATAACAGTCAGCACCTGACCCTGGACAATCTCAACTATTAGGTTACAAATAAATGCGCCCTAACACTACCCCAAACGACTTTTCGTTCTCAATTGGCCTATCAATGACCTGTGTTGCCTGTACAGCGAGGCATTTTGAGAAGGAGAAAAACGGCCGGAATGCTTTAGGTTTATCAATAACTAGCTGTGTGCCCGTTCTTAAAAATTGAAAATATGACTATTATTCATTTTGAAATATCTCCTGTAATACTTTGCAATTGCTCGAATTCGAGCAACATGTACACTAGTCATACAATTATACCAACTGAAACTAATTGTAAATACTCTGTAATCTCAAACTCACTTTACATTACACTTTACACTCACTTTACACCTTAGGCTACCAAAAAAGGTAAAAATACTCATAATAAATAGGTGTCTAGGCTAATATCTACAAATATAATGGCAAGCCAAGCCTTATCAGCCAAGCAATTGACCAACAGGTTAAAACATGAGAAAATAAAACATATGAACACAATGCTAAGTATTGGTTTCAATAAATCGTGCAGACGGAAAAATATTATTCCCAAATACATTAAGATAGGCATTAAGAATAAATCTGAGGCAGCACGCAAAACTTTAAAACAGGCCAAACAGCTTTGGCTCACAAATGAAATTAAATGTTTGTACAAAAAGGCGTCTAAGCTATTAAGCAATGTTAAGTTACTAAGAACCAAAATCAGAATGAAAATGGACAAACATGACTTTGATGAGACTATGGCTAAAATAAGTGAATGTGTTCTAAAAAAGAAAAAGTTAAAATTGGAAATCCTTCACAGGAAGTTGACACAGCTTTCCAGTAATAAATATAATTCTTGTCCCAACGTGCATGCCCATGAGTTTTATCCTAGAACTTTAAATCTAACAGGTATAAGTTTTGATAACAAAGAAACTGAATTTTTGGGTAAATTAGAGAAATACAATCCTCCACATAACCCCGTAAAAAACTGTGATGTAAAAAATTATGGAAACAGAATTAGCACTATCTTTTGTAGATAAAGAAAAGCAAAATAAAATAAGGTATGAAGCCACTAATAAAATCGAAATACTTGCCAACAAACCAGAGAACAAATACAGAAAAGAAAAATCTGCTTATTTAGAAGATAAGAAAACAATCAATAGTATAAAAACAAAACTTGTTACTAACGAAGCCACAGTAGTTCAGGCAGATAAAACTACTACGTCTGTGATAATGAATGAATGTGATCTAAATGAGAAGGTTAAAGATTATATCGTAAACAATGATATTTCAGAAATAGGTGACAAAACTAGACAATACAACCAAAATATTAAGTCTTTGTTGAACAACAGTTGTGTGATAGGCCCCATAACGTGCAAAACCCTGTACAATCCACACTCTAAAGCTCCTACATTCAAACCTCTGGTAAAAACACATAAGCCTGGAAATCCTATCAGACCTGTTATTAACTCTATAAATGCTCCATCATACAAGTTGGGAAAGTATCTCTGCAGGTTAATAAAATCTAGAATAGACATTAAATCTGACCTTACATGTACAAACTCTAGGGATTTTATTGACAAAGTAAAACATGTAAATATAGATAATAATCACACCCTAATAACTGTGGACATAGATAATATGTACGGTAACATTCCCAGATCTGAAGCAATCAACGCCTTAAAACAAAAACTAATAGAATGTAATAAATTCTCTACTGAGGAAATTGATGATATTGTCAGTATGGTAAAGGAGATCGTGGAGCAAAACTATTTTGAATGGAATAAAACCATTTATCAAGACCCAAACGGCCTACCTATGGGAGGTCCACTATCTGCCTTACTTGCAGAAGTTTACTTACAACAGTTTGAATCAAACTATATTATCAATGAAGCAAACCCCCACAATAAGAAAATTACATTTTACCGAAGATATGTAGATGATTGTTTTATTATCATAAAAGGTACACACAGGCAAGCGAGTGTAATGCTCAACTATTTTAACAACATTCATCCTTCTATTAAATTCAAAATGGAAGTAGAACAGAACAACTCCATTCACTTTCTAGACGTAAACATTTTAAAATCAGATGGCACGTTAGAGTTTGGTATTTATAGGAAGGAAACCCAAACAGATTTAGTTATTCCAATGGACTCGAATCATCCCATGTCCTACAAAATGGCTGCCCTCAGATCCATGGCATACAGACTTTTAACTTATAATTTGTCACCCTCAGAGTTTCAAAAAGAAAAATCAATTATGAAACAAATTGCCTACAACAACGGCTACAATACAGATTTAATTGATAACATGATATGGAAAACCAAGTTTAAATTATCTAGGCCACAAACAGATGAGAGGACTGGTCAACTACACAAGTTCATCCCTTTCAAATATGGAAACAAAAACTCGCTTCACGTAGGTAATATTTTTAAGAAGTTTTCTTACATGCCGGGATATAAAATAAGCAAGAATATTGGTATGAAACAAAAAGAAAAACATAGTATTGACAAGGGGGTTTATCTTATTAAATGCAATGATGGAGATGATTGTGATAAAGAATATATTGGACAAACTAATAGATCTTTCAAACAACGTTTTAAGGAGCATAACGCCCGAAACCAAAAAAATCCCACGTCTAAAGTTGCCCAACACCTGAAAGAACATCCTTCCCACAATATAAGTTTTGATAAATCGCTAAATGTGCTAAAAGCCTGTGATAACGCTCAAAGGTCGAAAATATGGGAGGAGTATTTTATTTTCAAAAAGGCCACTTCAATGGGTAAACATAGCTTGTTAAATGTTAAAGAAGACTTTTCTGATAAAGTTACCTATCGTCTGTACAGTAGACTAGAGGGGGAAGAGGTTACCACGGATAACACAACAGCTGATTAAGACAAGATAAGGGAGGAATGACCAGTAGGCCTACAACCTTGTGCGGTATCGCGTGTCGTCTTCCGCTCGCTTGATGTACAGTACGTGTGTGACCATGGTTGTAAAACTGTATATAAATATGTGTTTCGTGAACTGTGTTATATGTTTTGTAAATCGTGACAACCACTTCTGTGGGCAATGTTGAAACCTGACAATGACAGCGACTGAAGATGCATTGTAATTAATGCGAAACGCGTCTCGCAGGAGATAAGGATTTTGGACACCTTAGGCTACCAAAAAAGGTAAAAATACTCATAAACTCACTTTGATATGATCCTTCAAATTGAAGTGATCACAGTAATCTTCAAGGTAGTGTAAAACCTCTGAGGCATTCGTGAAAGTATTCTCGCTTTTGAACGGAAAGTCTGGAAACTGCGTGATCATTGTTGGAGCATTTGTTCTGAAATAAATAAGAGACATTATTTCTTTATAATTTAGGCGTTCCATTCCCAAACTCACTTATCAACATTTTTATTTATTTTGAGGTATTATCATCACTAGATTTGTTGGTAAAATCTGTATTGACTTTTTTTTGTGTAAAGTTTGCAAAACTGCAATGAGTGAGTTTTGGAATGGAATGCCTCATGCTATTACAGCCAAAAAATTGCCAGTATTCAACAATGTCATTGGAGTACAGGCAAAAAATTGCCTTAATAGAGGTTCCCCTTTCAATAAAAATAGAATTGGATATATTTTCATCACTATAGAATGTGTTTTCATAACTCTAGCAATTAAATTTATTGAACTATAGTAAAAGGGTTGTCTCTGTGTCGGTAAATAAAGTCTTCATCAAGTTGAAATATGAGACCAAGTCATGTTCTATACTTCATCCGATGGTTAATTTCTATGCGAATTATTGTTGCCAGTTGACAGATTTGTTAGCTGAAAAGTTTTTCGACGTAGCATGACACAATAGCTGAAAAATCTGGCGAGAGTAAATAATATAAAATAAACAACATTTTGTCTCACCTGAGATTTTTATACATGGATGAAGTAATGGGAAGACCAAACTCATCAGTGCCGGTAGCTTCAGTATATACCCAGGTACCTCCGACATTTCCTGTTTGCTCATACACTATGCAGGAGAAATTGCCGTTGGCAGTGAGATGACGAGCCACACATAGTCCTGATGCTCCAGCACCTATCACTGCTACTCGCATCACTGAAATTAACGCTATCATCAAACTGATGTATACTTTCTCCCATTAGTGACATTGGAATTGAACATACCACTATACATACTTTTACAAGTAAAAAATTTAAAACATATTCAGTAAATGGATGGGTATAGGGTTTCTACGGGGAAATTCACAAAAATTACTACTTTTGAACCGTAATTTTTACAGGATTGGGGTTGTGCCATTTCATGGTAAAAAGAACTACCCAAGAGAAAGAAAAAAAGAAGGTACATACAAAATCGTTAGAGCTGTTTTTATAAAAATAAGATCTTCCCATTAATTTATGGGTTTTAAGTAATAATAACAATAAAAAATCAAGAAAACTAAGAAACAACTGGTGATACAATGAATAGGACTCACATATCAGATTTTACAAAAAACGGATCACAAGTGTAGTCTCTAGCTTTGTATACATTCACACACAGACATCCCTTTAAAACCCACTTTTTGGATTCAGGGAGGAGCACCCAAAACTCAAACTGAAAAATTTTGACAAAAACAATTTTTTGTCCATTATACTTTGTACCTACAGGGGAAGAAAAGGAAAACCTAGTCAAACAGACATTTCCTTCAATAAAATCAGTGATCGGAGCTTAAAGTACAGCTGAATATTCTCCAATGCAGCTGATTATTCTTCTAGGGATAAAAATGAACTACTTTAGACCCAGCACTTGCATTAAAAACAATTATGTATTGGTGCAGAATAGTGAAAATTTTTAAAATTTATTCCACTGTTAAAACTTTTATATAAACGTTTTCTGCCATAAAACTACCAAAACTAGACACATACACACCTACCGGTACACAAATGATAGGTAAAGGTGAGAACAATGTTCTTTGTTGGGTTCTATATAATTCACTACACACAATGTGAGAAGGATTAGATCAAACAAACTAGCTCATAACTTAGCAAAGATAAGACTTGTAAAACAAGAGGCTTAGGAAAAAGCCTCTTCTAGAGTTGTACTTCATTAATGTTATAATTTCATAAATATAGAAATATGCTACTAAAAATACTCTTAGTATGTCAAATATTTCAGTTGGTTCAATTTTGTTTAAATGGGGCACGAAATTGGATTTAGAAACACTTATTGTGAAGGTTTTATAATTGCTCAGACCACCGCAAAACAATGCTAATTTGAGGGGGGAGGCATCATCTTTGTCTTCTGCGGTTGCGAAAAAATCATGAACGTCTTTTGTGGTTGTAGAGAAAATTGTTTTCGATTGCGCAATCTCCCAGATCATTTGGGCGTTCATAATAGCTTGGCCTAAAAATGGGAGTCACCAAAAATTATTGATAAAATTAATTTAACAACAGAAATAAAATTCCTTTAAGTCCAATCCCAAGGCAAAGCCTCAGACCACCACCGTCGGCTGGGAAATACGGCCTTGTCTGCGAGTACATTTTTCTAAGGTGCTCCCGTAGAATACAGTAAACCAGTCAGAACTCCTGTTACATCCAGAGCTAAACAAAGGTTTAACCTTATCCTCTCTTCAGGTATTATAGTTAGCAATATATTATAGTTATAGTAGTAGGCCTATATTATAGTTAGCCTGCCTAATTCTCAGATATTTCCATATTTTCCGCTCCCATTTAAAACACAATTTGGTCTATTATGTTGACTGAAAACATTGCTGCTATAGAAAATGTAGCATTGTTTAAGGCAAAGGTGGATTGATTGCTGAGTTGAGGATAGGGCAAAGGTGGATTGATTGCTGAGTAGATAGGGCAAAGGTGGATTGATTGCTGAGTAGATAGGGCAAAGGTGGATTGATTGCTGAGTAGAGGATAGGGCAAAGGTGGATTGATTGCTGAGTAGAGGATAGGGCAAAGGTGGATTGATTGCTGAGTAGAGGATAGAGGAAAGGCACTCCATTGCAACTAATCTTTTAACCGAACAATATTCTCAGGTTGTCAAAAAGTCTAAACCATGACGAATGCTTTTGTTATGATTCAAGAAGAGGAGTAAATAAGAATAACTAAAATTTAAAACTTATAAATACAAAACTAAACTAAAAAATATATAACACTCAGAGGTAAAAGGATAAAAAACAAATAAAAACAAAAATAATATATTTATTATGCTTCCACAAATGTAAAATTAAAATATGAACGTTTGCATATCACAATTAATGTTTGATTTTCATCAAAGGTATAAAAATATACATCCCTCACCCCGACATAGATAACAATAATATATTACATAAAATGTTGATATACAATGTAACTTTGAACTATAATATCACATCAGAATAACAATATAAAGTTATGGAAAACAAAATATCAGAAACAATAGTATGTAACGTTTTAAAATCTTACGTTACAGAGCATCTAGTTGTTATCCCATTCCACACAGAGATTTGATAAATAAGGTACTGCGATAACGTAAGAAAATAATCAAAAGTGGTCAATAACATTAATTAGTTGTTACAACGATGTGAAGGTGTCAATAAGCTTATAAAAAAAATGTGGAGAAAAATATTGCTTTTTACACCTTTGCAGACTTAAATAAAATATCTTGAAGATACAGGCTACAAATTATTTGCGATATTATACCATTTAAAAAATTATCCTATTTTGTGTTCAGTTGCTCATTTTACAGTGAGGTAGTCAGTTTAATATAACCCTTAAACATTAAGAAATTGCTATAACTACCCTTTATATTGGTGTGTAGTGGACACTCCATTCAAGGTCAGCGTTGTTTCCATGTTCAGTATAAAGAACTTGGGTCAATTGAGCTGCCAAAAGCAGATAAAACACTGTTTTCTTACATTATTGCCTATGTTTGATCATGACAAATTCAAATGGCAATCTATTGTGAAAAGCATCCAAGTAATAACTATTAAGGTATGAAAAAACCGAAAGAGAAAATAGAGCTTTATTAGCTCACTCTGTAATGGGTTTAATTATGTTTCAGCTAACACCTCAGGAAACAATAAAGAGCACTCCAAAATTGTTCAGGTGGTACATAATGATGAATTGGACTTGCCTTCAGACCACATGTCCAAAAAATACTCCTTTGGAAAGCCTTTCAAAGTACTAATACCAGATAGGCAGTAGCGTAGCCAGGATTGTGTCAAAGGGTTTTCACATAGCTGATATGGAGGGGGGTTTGAGGGCCGCAGCTGTAACCTATGAAATAAATAATTTAAAAAATAACTAATGGGTAATAGCTAATAACTAATAACTAAATAACAAATAAAATTTAAAAATCAAGTGTAAGATGTCATTTAAAAATGTAATTAGGTACAGTTAGTAGTAGATTTGTTATTTGCACCCTCTAATACATTTTATTTTTCAACGTTCTTCATATGCACAGTTCCACTTGAGAACTAAGCATAACCAGGTCCAGTTTATTCAGTACGTTATGTATTGTCTATTACTAAAAACTTTAACCAGGCGGTGGATCAACTATGGTCAATAACCTAAAGATGCCTCTAAAATTATGTTACCTAACCTCATTATCCATTTGAAATTCGCAAGAAAAGTTATAAATTGTGTTAAAAATATTTAGGCTAAACATTTTTCGACCATTATTTGTATGCAGTAGTTTTCCAGATTATTGATTTGGAAACATCACAGTTGTTTATTTGACAAAATTAAAATGGAAGCATAACGATGAAGTATCGGTCGATAGCTTCAAGGTCAAGCTATGCGCTTGCACGGCACTGACAGACGTCTGCTCCTTAGGCCGGTTTCACACGAGCCACAATCGTCGGCAGAAACGCGCCACTGGCAGCGCTCAATCGCGTGGGACCTTTCAGATGGCAAAAACATGATTCCACGATTTCCATCAGTTTATCGCCATTTCATACCGCACCTCCCTGAAATTTAAACCAAAACACCAGTCCGCTTGGAAAGACTACAAGCGCAGTTCAGTGCTACAATGGGCGATAAAGAAGACTTATTTTTTATAATGCTTCTTCATGCGGTACGACGTCATAGAGTAATTATTTGAGTAATCTATACATTCTTGGTCCCACAACACTGGCCTACACCCTACTTCTACGATAAAACGGTCTGTGTCAAAGTCAGATATAACTTAATGTTATAAAAGTAAAAAAAAATCTTAACAAAACAGGGTGACTGGTTGTTTTGACTGTCTGAGTGGCAATAACCAGCTACAAACGCCAAAATTGTCGAGAACAGAGCCACTGCATGCGATTGCAACGCGTTCTAGCCTTAAACGCAAAAAGACGCCACTTCGTGTGAAAGGCACGCCGCGTTCCAATGTTAAGTGAATGGGGCTCTTCTTTTCTGCGCCAGGTTGCGATTCTCGCGCGACAAGCGCGCCATTCACAGTCAGAAACGGCGTTTCGCGATTGTCGGGCGCTTTGTGGCTCGTGTGAAACCGGCCTAGTACAAAACACATCACTGTCTGTCTGCTGTTCACTATGTCACAATGGTTGACCATAATGCTTGTGACTGGGTAATTACTGATCAGTAACCAAGGAAACTTAATAAATGTGTGGATAAAAAGAAAGAATAGACAATCTAAGAGAATGAGTAAGCAATGTTTTTATGTCATTAATTGTTCTACCTTCATCTTACTATTAGTGTTGTTATGTTATAATCTTTAAAAAGGTTACGGTACTATAATTTTATACTTTTTTATGAGTTATATAGTTATTAATATTTTATCGACATTATTCCGTTTAAAAACAGGTCGTATCAGTACCCTACTTACTACAAGTAGGCTAACAATACTTACAAATTAAGTAGCAGTATAACTTACTAGACTTTCTATTGTTCTGTTCTTTACGTGATTTATTGCTGTACGGTTTTTTATTTTTTGTTTGAGTTAGGTGTGGTTTTAAACGCTAGTTTATACTGTATTACTAACCAAGGTTAATGACAACTTATCATGATTGTGCAATACTACTGTAATTGTATTTTTATTATGTGAAAAGCAAATTAATCATCACAATAATGTTCATTTATACAGTATTAGGAGTTTTTATGGTCAAAATCCTAAATATCTTTCACAATCACGGCAAAATCCTTTTGTCAAGGGGGGGGGTTATGACCCCCAAAACCCCCCCCCCCCCCTTGGCTACGCCACTGCAGATAGGAAGGATTGGTCTGGCGGAAAAGGACTCATACCCACAGGTGATTTAGAATGCTACACTGATGGTTCTAAGATAAAAAATGGGGGCACTGGAGCAGGTGGGCATTGTATAAATGGAGGCACTGGCATTCTGGTTTGTGCTCGAGAACATCTTAACAAAAATATCAGAGACAAACAATCAATATCTATACTGATAGTAAAGCGACCTTAAAAGCACTAAACTCTTACGAATTCAACTCCAGGCTCGTGTGGGACTTTCTTGCTTCTGTGTCTGAGTTGGGTAGGAGAAATGACCTTACGCTTTGCTGGGTGCCCGGACGCTCAGGCATAAAAGGTAATGAAGCTGCAGATAGATTGGCAAATACTGCCTCTGCTACAACAATGATAGGCCCACAATCCTTCTGTGGCATCTCACGAAACAGTGCATGTTCTGCGATTGCGCCATGGGCCAAGGAAAAGCAACGCAAACGCTGGGTCGATGTTCCCCTTCTTAGGGTCAGCAAGCTTACTCTGTTTAGGCCTTCCAAAAAGGTCGCCTCTGACCTCTTGAGACTAGACAGACGAAGAATTAAATTAACTGTTGAACTGATAACTGGTCATGGGAGATTCAGGAAACATCTACAACGGATGGGCTTATATGATGGTGAACCGATCTGTAGGTACTGTGATAGGTCAGAAGAGACAGCTGATCACTTACTCTTTGATTGTAACGAGCTCTCTGACGCTAGATTGATAACTCTTGGAAATATGGCTAGAGGTAGACATCTTCCTGAGGATGAACTAATTGGGAAGCTACAGGCATTCATTGGGCGCCTTAACTTGTAGGTCAACAAAAAAAGCAATTGTCTGGCAATAATTCGATTTCGGATGAAGTGCTTTAAGGTCTCGACCTGCCCCTGTTAGATAAGATAAGATGTTTCAGCTACAGCTCGTTTAGAAGTTTAGATGGAATGTCTATTTCACTATCCTTAATACATGCTCCATCACAGAGATGACTTACAAATTACTACTAACAGGTCTAATATGGTATTTATTACTAATCAGCTCTTCCTTATCAACTGGTACTCCAGAGATTTTGAAATAAAAGTCATCGACCACTTCAAAATTAGCCTCTCTGTAACAATCCAGGTATTTTTTCCGAAGTTCAGTTGTTGCGTAGAATATATTGAAGTAGATGGGAGAAAGAGGTTCTAATGATGCCATCGACTCAAGCCGCTGTATGTAAGTTCTGACCTCGTCATGGATTTCATGATAAAACTTAAGAGGTATTCCACGGTCTTGTTTTTTCCTTACATATTCTTCCAGTTCAGCCATCATTTCATCTCGACTTGGTAGTTGGAACGTGCCGCTCAGTGATTTTAAAAAGAACTTGACCTGTAAAAAAATATAGGTTGTAGTCACAATAGCAAGCTTAGAAAATAACTTTACTTTATGAACAAATTATCAAATTTTTGTGTATGTTGAGTGTCAAGTGTTCTAAACTCTCTTATGAATTCAAAAGGCATTAGTTATTTTTCTAATATCCATTGCTTAAATTTCAAAAATTAAATATTAACACAAAAGGATATATATTTTTTTAAAAGGAAAATGTTATCATTTAATACAGTTTTGTATAAAGAATTGCACGCCATTTTACCACAAATAAATGTATTTTTTTATTAATAAAATATTAGGCTTACCTGTTGATGGAACATTGGGAAAATGAATGTCCTGAAAGGAATGCCGATGAAAGCCATTGTGGGATGATTGATGTTGATAAGATGATTGTAGAGTGGCTCAACATATCTCCCATCAACAACAGTGATGCCACATTCAGGAGAGAGAAACGGGAACGAGTAGTTGTAACCTAGAAAACAAAATGGCCGATGAAAATCATTGTTAAGTCAGTGTTAATGACATTCACTTGTAATCTACCATCTACAACAATGATGTCACTCAGAGAAAGAAAGAGTTGAGGAAAAAAATATATGCACTTGAGTTTGAATTTGAAATATCTCTGAGATGAATAATCAGGTTCAGTTTAAAAAATCAATTTGAAGCTAGTTTGAACCCATATCACGTATAAATCATAAACAATTATATTTTAAGGGAAAAATTCATATTTGAATTTGTTAAAAAAGATTTCTCTCGTTAGTCATTACTATTTTTTTCTGTTTTACTTTAATTCATCTTTCATTTATCTGATGATGGTTAGAAATTTAATTTAAGTTAATCAGCTGTTAAATTAAAATTCATATCTATATATTTATTCAGGGCCGCATTAAGGGTCAATGAAGCCCTGGGCAAACTCAAAAGCAGCGCCCCCCTTTTTCCCTAGTGCGGGCAGTAGATGGACGTGCAGTGCCTGCCAGGCACCCCTCAACCACCGGCGCCCCTGGGCATATGCCCAGTCTGCCCGTTTGTAAAACGGACCTTCATTTAATTTGAAACAGTTTTTTTTGTCTCCACTAACCATCATGGTTTTTGGGTGTAGAAACTTGGTAGAGGTGTCTTGGTTTGTAGATAAGCCATCAAAAGATAAAAGAGGTAAACTCCCTTGGGGCGCTGCTCCAGCGGTTTTAAAAGAACATTTAAGTAGGTCAGGTGAAAAATAGGTGTCGTATAGAAAACCCTTATTGCATTAAGTGAATAGAAGATATGATTTTAGCCTTGGAACTAGTTGAATTTATCAAACACAAACCTGTACATATAAGAATAGCATCGATACGTCCAGAAGCTGCACCATCTTGAAAGACAACGTGATCACTGAGAACCTCTTTGACAACTGGAACCTCCTCAACATTATCAGGATACACGCCTTTCTTGACTTCTCGATGGCTGAAGTACACCTGGGAAAATAAATTATATAAGACTTGAACAGAAATCTTTAGCATGAGTGACCAAATCAAAGCTGTCGACATTCAAAAAATTTTAAGATCGAAAGTCAAAATATTAGCTTTAAAAACTAGGCCCCCCCTAACTACCTTGGAAGCGAACTTTGCGAGGTCAAAGGAGATGTCTACTCCAGAAGGTCCACCCCCACAGACGAGCACGGTCTTGTTAGTGAACCGTTCAGGAGTCCTGTAAGAGTGGCTGTGTTGAACGATTCCTTGGAAACTCTCAAGTCCCGGAAAAGCCCCCACTCTTGGAACACTATAGTGTCTGCAAATAAAATAACTGTAAGTGAGATAAAGAAGAATGATACATTAGCACAGATGATTTGAATACAATGTCATGGAGATGTGTTTAATGTCAAGGGCTGTTAAACTATACAACCTTATGTATCTAGTTTGTCGAGCAGTTGGTTAAACAACATTTTACCCTCAGGACATTTTAGCCTCACTTACGGCAAACAAATAGAAAAAGTCAATTTGAAACTGTGGGAATAAATGCTATTTGATACTTCCGCTTGATTACTGGTATTTTCCTTACCAATGAGTGCTTCTCTAATAATTTTTTTGGTTAAAATTCACTTCCTCGCATCGTCAAAAGTTACCCTTAATGAATCTTTCTATAAAACATTACAGTTTCCATTTTTTTCTACTATTTCTTACTATTGTTAAGTATATTTTGTTAAGATTTTACAGTCATTGAAAGAACATAAAATATTTAACAGTACACATTATTATTTCTAACACTTTATTTCCTATGTGTTGAAAGTGCCAAAAAAGCTGACCAAACATTTTTCTTTATTCAAATTGCATTAAATGACATCCTGACTGAAAATAATGAAAATGACGTTTTGCAGTAAAGCATAGTCATGGAAAATTAGTGTTAACAACCTAATTAGTGTTAATTTACTGAGTAGAGTTTTTATTTCCTTAATAAGTCAATTAACAAAGATTTTAGCATCCTTCTGGCATCAGTTTTATCACAGCGACACTTTGATTGGAAATTAACCTTAACATCAATAATTCTTCATGAAGTTGATTGAAAAAATCCAAAGTAATAATGTTTTGAAAACACAAGGTTAAAAAACCCACAAATTGTTCTAAAAAACAATTTTATGCTAGTTTTAAGGAATTTTTACAAAAAATTGACGGAAATTTTCAAAGCGCAATTTTGAGAATTGTAAAATATTTAAATTGTTTTAGGTCTGATATTTGACTATAAACTTTTGTCAGTTTCGTATAAGTTAATCATCACTTAAGTTGCCAAAAAGTCTATGAACAAAAGTAAATTTAGCTATGGTACCAATTTTATTGAGAAACCAACTTTTACTGGATCACTAAACTGGAATTTGGGTAAATTACAATTTGCTAATTCTTTTTATTAGAACAGATTTTAATACTTGATGTCCTTACCCGATGCAAACAGCGACAGCATCACATTGATCAATAAATTCTCGGTTATTCGGAAGATCAACAATTAGCAACTCCCATTTCCCATCTTTGGGTTTTACTTGTTTAACATGGTGGAAAAACTACAACACACATCAATTTGAAATTTTGTAACCCAAGAGTTAGTATACACTTAGTTACATCATAGACTAAGCAACACAAGGGAGTATGTTTTATCTGTGGTTACATGTAGTCATCATTTTGTATCCGAGTTAAAGTGACAATCTGTTGGCATTCATTTTGTTGTATTTAAAGTGTGTTGTTTCTGAAATACAATATTCAAGTTTAAGTATAACATTTTTCAAAATAATTAGGCCTGATTGATTAGTGGAACAAAAATAGAAATACTGGTTGTTTACTAAATTGTAATACATTTTTTGCCACACTACACTATTTAAATGGACTTTCCACAAAAGGATTTAGTCCAGAAAACAGCTGTTTGCCGCCTGCTTAGTCAAATGGGATTTCGTTACCTACTACTGTACTGTAATACATTTTTACCGGACACCAGCTGGTTAAAAAATGAGTGGTTGCATCATAATCAGTGGCAATGAGAATGAGCGGTTGTTAAGTTTTTAGCCCTTTCGCCTATCATTTTAGGGCTCCGCCTCCATGTACTAGGTTTAATATATTATGCAGATCATTAAGCCCACCAGTATTTTAACGCCAAATTATAGCCTACTAATGATAACAATAAAAAATAAAAAATTTTTGCTGTAATATGAAACGGTTGCAAAAACGAACAATGTCGGCTCACAGCCGACAGGAGAGTCGAAAGGATTAAGTTAGTTTAGAATAGAATGATGAAAAATATTCTACATCACTCGTCCAAAATGTTTTCCATACTCATCCGGTAAACAGCTTATTTTCCAGATTAGTATGTAATATACTATTTCGCCAAACCACTGTGAAATAACCTGTTTTTGTTACATGTTTATCAACTGCAAAAATTCATTATTACATTGCTTACTGCGGAAAAAGAATGTTTACCATGCAAAAGTAATGTTTACTATCTTTTTGGACGTAAACAAACAAAAGATTTGTTATTTTTTGTCAACTGTTTCAATTTTCAACAACTAAAACTGAACAACCAATGTAAATAAATACTAACTTTAAATTGAAAGGCATACTTAAAAAATGCTATGAGTTTTGTAATGTTCCTAACTGTAATAAAGAAGTATCCAATGTCTGTTTTAATTAAGAAAACAATTAGTCTTTGTAGTGTAGTAACGTTCAAAACACGAGTGAAAGAGTGGGTCTATATTTTCAACCATCGAATGTGCTCGGTAGGCCTACATCTTGCACTTCAAACCTGGTATAAAATATGTACCCGGTAATGACTCACATTGTACTCTTGTTATAAAAAATTAGTCTGTGATTTGTGGAGTGTAATATTTTAAATCTAGTGGCGTTGTATAAAGCTATTAAGCATTATAGCAAAATAACCACGGTAAACACAATTTCCAGATACACTTAACAGTTTGCTTGTCTGAATTAAATATGTAACATTATCTGCTTAGCTATATATTGTTCTAGATAGAACCAAATTATAATATTAAAATTACCTTAATGTAATTCTGCAACTCATAGTGGTTGCTATAATCTTCCAGATATTGTAAAACTTCTCGTCCAGCTGCAAATGAATTTTTATTATGGAATGGGTAATCTGGAAATTCCATGGTTTTAGTAGGTAAATTCGTCCTGAAACAAAAAAAAATAAATTGCAGTGGAACCTCGATAACAAGTCACCATTGGTAACAAGTCACCCTTGATAACAAGTCACCCTTGATAACAAGTCACCCTTGATAACAAGTCACCCTTGATAACAAGTGTCATTTTTAAATCCCCTAGAATTTATTTTATCCCTAATCACATGTTATTGCAAACCTCGATAAGAAGACAACCTTGATAACAAGTCTTATTTTATAATCCCCATGAGAGTCTTGTTATCAAGGTTCTACTATAGTGCATTATAAGCACGGCACACAGTTATGATTATAACTCTTAAAATGCTGTAATCTACATTCATTATTATATTGCATGGATTTTAGTGACGAGAATTTCTATTCGGAGAAAGTTTTTCATCATAAGTGATCTAGATCCTTTTTTATAAAAGAGGTTCCCACGTATTTGGGTTAAAATACACACCTCGTTGGTGTCCCCATCTCAATAAATATATAATTGATAATTTCCACGTGTTTCTCTCCACTACACTACTTTAGACCTACAGGTTAACCTAAGGAGGACTCAGCAAACAGGCAAGTCAGAGCAATTATCTAAAACAATTGCTGGATGGCGGGATTTGAACATTCTTGCCTTAAGGACAGAAGTCCTACGCTTTAACTACTAAACCAGTCATAATCATCTTCTATAAACTAATAAAAAGTGACATGTTATTTCCTCGACTTGGAAAGGATATAGAAAATAAATCTGTGATAAGCAGCTTTAAGTTCCACATAATATTCCTCCAAAAGTTTTTTCTTTTTTCAGAAACTCGCAGCTACAGATAAATAATAATAAAATATAAGTCTTTTGTAATAGCCACTTTGTACTTGAAATCCACCATGCCTTTTTATTTTATTCAACCAATGGACATTTTATTGTTTTTTTTTTATGTACATGAAAACCCTCTCTCAAGGACAGTTTTTAAATTTGGTCTCGAAAATTGATGGATCCTCAAAAACTATTTAGGTACTCACAGGTTAGCTATTTAGACAAAGAGAAGTAAGGTACAGAAGAAACTTTCAATATTACAATTATTGGTGTATAGGACAAAGTCCAACACCACTACCCTCGTCCTCATGTACTACAACACTCATTGCGGAGGAAAACCCTGTGCAATAGGAATTTCTGCTGAGTGCTTGCCACTCAGGCTCTTCCTTGCTCGACAAAAAGTATATTTCCGGCACAACATACTGAAACTGAAAGGGCACGGTAGTATAGGCAGGTTTCCTCTGTAACTTACTATCTGTGATTAAGTTAAGTCTGGCATCGGATGAGGGGGTTGATGTTCTAAGCCTTTAATTACCTTTCTTACCCTAAAAATGTCCTGTTTAGTAAAGTTTTTGATCAATCAAATGGATTTTTAACTATTACAGTATTGTATTTGCATCCTTCTATTAGTGAGTTAGTATATTGATATTTTAGCATCAAAAATTTCCTTTGTATTTTAGACACAAACAAGGTCAGAGCCTTAGTTTATCTTTGCACGGCTGTGAATAAGAAGTCTACATAAGCTTTATAAGTTTACAAAACATGATAAGGCTAAGCTTGTTATGCAACAATCATTATAGGTACTGTAGAGATGATTCAGTTTATCAAAGTTCCGTAACCTAAACCACGGTTTCACAGTGGGATCCGCAAAATCAGAACTAGGCCTTGTAAAAATAAAATAATTACTTAAGTCTTCTTCATCCTCGGTGTGGATGCGTTTTGAGGGTTGAGGGAAGGTTGAGAGGACGGGCAGGTAGCGTGGGATTATTATGCAGGCCATTCTGCAAGTTTTCTGAGTTTCTTTAACCTTTAAGTTTTCTTGACACACTACACCATACATATTATCAAAGTTTTTCAGAGCCGATTGTTCCTTTACCCTTTTTGTTAGCTCCTCAATTTTCTCGTGTCCTGATGCAACTGATTTACCTATGTTTCTCTCCAACTCTGTTGTTGGCTGATTGTTTTCTTTGCGCATTTAACGCAAGAGTTCTAGAACATCATTTATACTAGCCTCACTTTTAGCAAGTTCTGATTCCATTCACATACTCTTTCGACAATTTTGACAACATGGTGAACATCTCCAAACTTCACCTTCTTGTAAATAAAAATCAACATCTTAATCCGATAAATTAACACAACTACCATGAAACATCGGTTTGCAGTCCTGGCATTGGATCTTGGGGTTTCTACTGGTCACTGATTTTAAACAAACTTTACATTTACTCATTTATATTAGGGTATTAAAAGAATTTGTTGGAATTTTGTGAGCAGCAAATCGCTCCTATGTTTTTAATTTTGTAGGCATATTGGGTATCAATTTAAAGCCCTTATCCTCTAAATGTGCCTTTAGCGGGTTTGGATGATAGCCGGTTAAAGCCCTTCCTTCTATATGTTTTAAGATTTCAAAGTTTATGCTGAATTAAGTTGTCAATCATCTGAACTTTTTTCAAATTTCCATTTGTTTACATCAAAACAGATGGCCATGATACAATTTGATTTACATCCATACGGAAATGGGGTTTTTTGTGGTTTGGTGATGTTTCAGTGAATTCAAGTAAAATATTGTAGGAGTTATTTGTATAATGAAATGAAATGAAATGAAATGAAAATCGTCTTTATTCTTGAGCGTTTTTCATATTACAACATATGTTTTTCAAAACAACTCACGTCAACATAATAAATAATATAAAACAAAAGCAACTCTCAAATCTTAAGTTAGGCTAATTAAAAATTAAAATATGTTCTCTATTCCTAATTATTTTACCATTCTTCAAACCATTTGTTATATATTTTTTAAATGACTTTTCACTGTCCAACACCCCTGGCTCAGTCCTGGATGACAATTTATTCCAGATTTTAGGGGCAAAATAAGAAAACCCACAACGGTCGGACTCACAGCGCACACGGGGCATCTCCAGCATGTCATCCTGCCGTGTGCATCGGGATCGCATCTCAGAGCGAGCTCTCAGTCTTACCTTCAGGTACTGAGGTCTCTCCTCTGACAGTACCCTCCGGATGATGCAGGAAGTGCGTAAAAGGCACAGGTCAGCCATAGGCAATAAGCCAAGAGATGTGAGGTCTGATGAAATTCGATCAAATTTTCGCAGATCGCAGACGTACCTGACGCACATGTTTTGCACCCTCTGCATCCGACTCATGTCTCCCAGTGATATAACATTACCATACACCGGAAGACAGTAATCAAACACAGACAGTACAAGTGCCTGCACAAGCCGAAATTTGGTGGGTTTGGGGAACAAGTCACGATGCCTGTACAGCATTCTCAGACGACCTATTGCTCTCTGGCATGCGTAACTCACATGATCAGAAAAGGAGAGCTCAGGATCGAAATGAAGCCAAAGAAGCTTGGGAGCTTTACACTCTTTGAGCGGAATTCCGCCAAGGCATACTCCAGACAGGGGCTCGGACCGAACAACCCTGCTGACAGAAAAAGTCACCAATGAACATTTGTCTCTGTTCAGCTTGATGCCATGGGACATAGACCATGCAAAGACAGAATCCAAATCAGAATTGAAATCTGTGGTGGTGGTAGTCTTGTGATATGGTTTTAAACTATTCTGGTTGTCAGTATTACCTTGGATTACTGGAAAAGTGTGATGGGGGCCCAGAGAATTGGACCTTTTACCCAGACCAGGAAGACAGCCCAAGCCAGCTTTGATTACACTTATTTAACTAACACACTTAAATACCCTAATTTTGGTTGACACCTTCCAAACTAATATATAAATATATATAAGAAAAACCTGATTGAAGCAAGAATTGGTTGAATTGTAACTGGTAGATGAACTAAGGAACCCCTCTAACCGGCAATTTAATCTCTTGGAACATGTGGCTTCGAAACATGAAAAGGATTGTTTGATTCCGTTAGGCGGAATCAAACTTGATAGTTATTTACTACATTTTCCAGCGTACCTGCGAAGCCAGTGGCTTCCCCCCCTGAGATTTACTTCTAGCCTAACATATTTTAATATTTTACTTAAAACTAATAAGTTAACTTAGCTTGATTATTGTTCATTCTGTACGAAGTTTGAAGACTCGAAGTTCGTCAAATCACGGCAGCGGGCAGACAGGGGCGAGAGAAGAGACGAGCCGGCTGAGCTTAGAAAAAATTGGTCCAAGAAAAAGAGCGGTTGAACGGCATGCTAGCGCCTTACGCCATGAAGCTGTGGCGCTTGCGTCACAACCACCCCCCCTCGCGCAAAAGATTTTTTTTTTTTTTTTTTGAGGTAGGTGAATGGAGTGGGAGGTGTGACAAGTTGTGTGAAAGGTGAGTTTTTTGGTCGAAACGCCTCCCTTCATCTTCGTTTCTGGGTCCTTAGATATCTTGACACGGTTTGGATTCCAAGGAAGCCGAGAAACAATGAGGGAAGCTTAAAACCGCCCAACCAGACTGGCTCGGCTTGGTTCATCCATCGCAAAACATTGGGGTGTGAAGCTAATTTTGGTTGACCAACCCAACAGGGATGGGAGTCCACCCCCCCTGCGAAAAAGGTAGGCATTGGGTGAAAGACAGTCATACTATCCTGTAAACTTGACGGTTTCTTCTTTTGTTGGAAAAAAAAGGGGAAAAAAAGGGGATTTGTCTCCAAATGGTAGCAGAGCTTTAGGCCTGGACCAGTAAGTGGGCTTTTGCCGGCTTGGGTTACACATTTTGCTTAGGCCTAGTTTCAACACAGTTTTTCATTTGAGGTTAGTCCTAGCCTTTTGAAATATTTCAAGTTAGGCTAGTCAAAAATATTTTCTTACAGTTGAGTTGTTCCTTATTGCATTTTCTGGCCAGATTTTACTACCTTGGGTTATTTAGTTAGGCAGACAGGGCTGTAGGCCTAGAGCATGGTAAAGTCTGTGTTGCAAGGTTACCAAGTGTTAGGCCTGTAGGGGTGGCAGACCCAACTGTTTATTTGTAGGGCTATGCTGTTTGTTTAAAGTTGTTTCAGGCAAGTAGCAGTCAACCTCGACCGTCAGGG